ATGAAGGCCTTGGGGCTGCTGATGTTCTGACTCTGAGACTACTCTGAGTGTTGGCTACATCAACATGTTGACCGGCGGCCTTCTCGCTAGTACTATCTTCTTGGCATCATGGGTTCCAGAAGTTTTGTCCGGGTCTGATGTTCGCAAAGTTGTTGAGTTCATACTTGTCGCAGGCTGTCAGATGCAGGTAACATAGTACCACGGACACCTTCAACCCCCACTTTTGAATCCAAAAACAACTAACTCTACAGACCCTAAACCCTAGACATTTGAAGCCTAAACAACTCTACAAGCCCTAAACCCTAAACCTTAAACACAGTTCAGAGGAAAGGAGAGCATCGCAGCAGGTGCAGTGCCAGCGCCTCGTCGTATCCCTGGCGCTGATCAAGCACCGAGTGGCCAGGGCGGCAGGCTCCGGTTTAGGGTTTTAGGGTTTAGGGTTTAGGGCTCGTGGTTCTGTCCGGTTTGGGACCGGTGTCGTTGTTGTAAGCGCTGTTATTATGAGTACGATGAGAATGATTACTGTAGAGGCCTTAATAGTTTGAATAGGGTTTTGGGCCCCTTTACAGTTTAGCTATTGTAAGGAACCCCTAAACAGTATAGGTAACTATTTAGGCCCGTACATTGTGATGATAATGATGTTTACTATTATGAGTATTCCCGAAACCCTAAACCCTAAACCCTAAACCCTAACTGTGTTTAGAGTCTTACAAGGAGCTGCCTGTCGGCTCCCACATGTCTGCGTCAGACTCGGATGTCTTCTCGTTTCCTTTTGGGGACGTTTAGCTTGTTGGGGGTTTTTACGCTGCAGACAACACAGAGGCTATTAAGCTTCGGACGTGCTCAGAAAGAAGGTAGGTTTTGGCTGTGAGGATTTCTGGCTTGTGCATCCTTTACAGCAGCATCTGCCAAACCCTAGGACTTCTTAGGAAACTTCCGTGTGTGCGAGCTCCTCGCCTCTTTGTTCAGGCAGCTATACCAAACCCATCTATAGACAAACTTTTCGAGGAAATCTGAAAGGAACGCTTAAGAAAAAATGAAAATCCTCAACGGAACGCTTAAAGGAAACGGGACGTGTAAGGGCGTCGGAGTCTTGTTTTGTGAGTACAGGGCGCAGACTCTAACCTTAGATCTTAAACACTAAACCCTTGTAGCCTGTTGAGGGTTTGGGGTATAGGCTCTGAGGATTCAGGGTCAGGCCCAGTGTGAGATCTAGAAGCACGCATGCCCGTCAGGAACGCATGCAGAAAGCGAGATCGACGCCCGCCGCAACCTTGTCGTCGTTGGAGTTCCTGGAGGTTTTCGGAAATTTTTTTGCATCTAGGGTTTACCTGGGAGTTGTCCGTCGGATTTCGGGTTCTGGTTGGGTTGTCGATTACGGGCTGAGGTTCAGAAGTTGAATCCCTGCCGGAATAAGGAAGCTCTCGTTTAGCGGGTTTTGCCTAAAGCCAAAGCCCCACCCTGGAGAGCCCATCACTCTGGAGAGCTTACCTTCATCGAGGCATCCTTTTGTCAACTTGTCTCCGTCAAGGTTTCATACTTGGGGGCCCACTTGGGGGTTCAAGATTGTTGTGGGCTATAGTCCCGTTACACCCCAAAAACATGGCCGTTGCGAAGAGCCACGTAACCTTCAAGCCTAATCCACCAAAGCGTTTCTCCTCCGAGACACTGCATCCTAAAGCCACAAACACAAAACGCCCTAACCCCCAGGTGGCAGCCTCAGCCCTAATGAATACCAAATTGATTTGGTCAAGCTCGCATCCCTCTAGATTAGGATTTCCCGAAGGGTGGTGCCTACGCTCCCGTGGTAGTTTCTCGCCAAGCACAGTCCTGGGAGGGCGGTTACGGGGGGAGGGTAACACCATCATTTCCTGTACCCTTATACTAACTTGCATTATAGTATGATGGGCCCCAAAACCCTATTCAAATTATTAAGGCCCCTATATTACTAATTTGCATACATTCAGGCCTCGAAGCAGATCTGACCAGTGTCTCGAGCGCTTATGCGTCCGGAGCCTTGAAAGGGTGTTTCAGGAGGGCTACTATATTGATGTTTTGGGTGCTAAAAAGGTTTAGGGTTTGGGACTTTGGGGTATCAGGCTGCTTGTGGTTTTTGGAGTTTCAGGAGCTATTCCTGGGAAGGATAGGCAGCAGACGGCTTGGAATCCTTGTCAACACTGCTGTGGCTGCACAAGCCGAAATCCCTGAACCCCTACAATTATCACACCTTAGATCGTAACAGCACTGAGCCCTGCAGCGTTAAGCCCAGAAATCCTACATCCCAAGCTCTTCCTGAACCCTAAACCCCTGTTCTTGTCGCCACTCTTGCTCCAACACGCGGCTGGAGCTTGGGGCTTCAGGGCAAGGTAGAGGGGTTAGGGTTTGGGGTCAGTTGTACTGTATAGGATGTAGAGCGTAGTAGGTTGTTAGTGGAGAACCCCGAAGCCCAGATCTTTGTGTGGCTTGTGGTTCGGAGGCTTTCGTTGTAAGACCTGTGAGACGGGGTGGTGTCCGGGTCGTAGTAGTAGTGCTGCTACTACTACTACTACTACTACTACTACTACTACTACCACTACTACTACTACTACTATTACTACTACTACTACTACTATTACTACTACTACTGCTACTACTTTGTTTAACTGAGTGCACGCAAGCAGTTCCGGCATGGATCGAGCTTGCCCTGGAACAAGGGTGCAGTCGTTGCGGGGCACCAAGTCTAAGTGCTGCGAATTGGTCGTGCCTGGGCATGGCTCGCGACCTTGAGTCAGCGCTGGAGGTTTGCACCCGGACCGGCCACGGCGGTTAGAGGTTCCAGTGAGTGGGAGGGAGGGAGGGAGGGAGGGAGGGAGGGAGGGAGGGAGTCCAGGTGAGCAGGTTGAGGCCACTGCTGGTCGCAGGAACTTTTGGCAGTGTTGATCCGAGCTGCAGCCGCTCAGAAGAAAGGCTGCCTGCTGCGCAACATGTTTGTTGTTTAACTGAGTGCACGCAGGCAGTTCTGGCGTGGATCGAGCTTGCCCTGAAACAAGCCGGTGCAGTCGTTGCGGGGCACCAAGTCTAAGTGCTGCGAATTGGTCGTGCCTCAGCCAGGCAGAAATCCAGCAGGATGCTTTGATCGAGCGCACGCAAGCGGGCATGGCTCCCGACCTTGACCCAGACCGGCCACGGCGGTTGGAGGCAACGACTTTCACCAGGCAGGCCTTTGGGATATTTTACGTTTTCCATTACTGGGCTTTAGAAGATCTCATGTACCCAATATTTTTCAGTGGCTTTGAACGGCCATCCTAGAAGCCCTCAACCTGGGATTGTGCAAGCAGAGTACTACGCAGACAAACCCGGAAGCAAAAGCCACTCTGCTCCGGAATCCCGCAGTAAACTATTGACCTTGAACCCTAAGCCACACTGGTCTAGAGGTCGAAGTTTTTGTCAATGTTATTCCTTTGGGCCCAAAACCCCGCTCGAATCATGAAGGCCCCCATGTCCGTGAAACCCGAAGCCCCACTTTCTCCCGGAGTTTCAAGTTTCAAGCTGCTTTCAGTCTATATACTTCAAGTCGCTGCAAAGCCACATGTGTTCATAGTATGTGTATATACATACATAGATATACATATACACATGTACGAATTGCTTGAACACGAAAGCAAACTCATCATGTGAATCATGTGAAACCAACAGTTTATGAAGCCTGAACACGTATACGGACATAACCTGTTGACGCCGAAAGGTTCCAAAAGTAGTGGCAAGATACATTGCTGAGTTGTTCTGTCTTTTGTCACCATCCATAATGCGTGGACTGAAGTTCAACTTTCAGGGAGGGTTCAGAGGCACAGACCACAGCATCCCCACAACCCTCAGGTGCGGCGCCGGGCCCTAAACCCGCGCCAGCTCAACCTTTGCGCAGAACCTCATGCCTGTACAACACCGGATAGAGCTTTTGTATAAGCTGATAACCCCCTAAAGGCCCCGAAAGAACCCTGCAAAGCTGCGCCAAAATGGCCATGGAGAGTCTCCGTGAGTGGCGTTGCTGGTCTGCTACTTGACTTACTTCATGCCTCAGCTGTTTTCCTGGGCATACGCCGAAAAGTTTAGTGGTTTAAGCTCTAGGGCTCTGGGCGTTTATAAGTCAGTTGCCTTCGGTGGCATTCTGTTCTTGATTTCTGGGTTCCTCGGTATTCATAGACAACCACAACAAGTACGTAAATAGCTTTCCCAGGGGTTACTGAAAAGCCTAGCTTGCCATTCCTCAAGCCAGTTTCACAAAGTAAAGGACCCTAACACCAACCCTAAATTACAATAACTACCATTGCATCATAAACGCTGCAGAGGCACCTCAGTGTCACAGACTTTAATCCTCTCCGGAAAAGGGAAGGCTCAGCATTCAGGATTTCAGGGTGGAGGGCTTGGGGCTGACTATGGCAATCCTCCCACGAGAAAACCGTATTAAACACCGATCAAGACAAGCCCTGCACTCTAAACAAGGCTGAAACCCAACGCTAGCATCACGAATAAAAGGCAAATGAAGAGCCGATGGTAACCCGTCCTGTCGGGCCTCCGACAGAAGTGCAATTTCCTCGGCATCCCTACCGGCCGGAACCGAGTCACACGTACTATAGAAGCCTGGACGGTTATCAAGAGTCCTTAGGGTTCCTGGTTATATTTATGCATATTTATGCCATAAAGTTATAGAGGAGCCCAATACCCTATTCAGTTATCAGGGCCCCTACAGCATGGTTTCCGCATTGCTGGGATATACTTGGTCCTCAAATTCGGTGAACATGGCTCGGAACCGGATCTGGTCCTGTTCTGCCCACCACCGTTGCGGAGGCAGAGAAACAGCAGTCTCGGCAAGAGCTGTACCAGAAGAGGGCGGCTGAACACGACATGGACCCTAAACCGTAAGCCGTACATATCTATCCTGAAGAACGTTTGTAGAGCCCGCACAGAAACCCTTTCAAGTATCCTTAACATAGAAGCCCTCAGGGGGCCAAATTTTTGCGGAGGCTGCTTGGCCTGTCTTGGACTGTTTGGGCCTGATTCTCTCGGCCTGCCTGGCTTTTGAGCAGGCGCGGGCACCTTGATTTTAGGACTCTACTGAAGCTTCTGAGGTTTCTATACTTCCTCGACGTTTGTAAGTAAGCCCTACATCGCCTTAACATGAGGGAATATGAGATCCTGTTCAGGGGTGCCTGGGGTTTCCATGTGTCAGCAGCCAGGCAAGGGTGGGAGTGGATTTTGGAGGTTAGAGCCTGTGGGGTTTTTGTTTTGGATGTACTGAGGTTGCCATCGGTTTAGGCTTTGAAGCTGTACTGTGGGGGCCTGAATAATTACCTATACTATTTTGGGGGTTCCTTACTATAACTAGAGTAGAATGGGCCCCGAAACCCTATTCTAATTTTAAAGCCCCTATATTCTTGGTGTAGCTTTCTAGAGTGTTCGTTCTGTGGGATGCTGCAGGGCTTCAGGGCTTGAGGTTTCGGAATGTTTCAGATCTAGTTTGGGGTTGGAATCCTCACAGAACCCGAATAGAAGCATTTTAGAGCCCTTATCGAACGCCGTTTATAAGGGGACCCTGATCATATGGAACAATGATAATATGTATCTACGGAAGCCCGGAACCTGAATCCCGAAACCTTACCAACAAACCCTGAAGACGACCTTCGTGCGAAGGGAAGAGTGTGTATGCACCCATTCATGGTTTGGAGTTTTCAGGGGAGGGTTGGGGCTAAAAGCTTGATTAGGCCTTTCTCAATTGGACAGGTCAGTGCCGTGGGTTGGTCTTTGCATGCGCCGGCTGTTTGCGACGCATCTTGGCCGACATCTCTAGTGATCGGCCAGGAAATTTGCACGGATAGACAAACATTGAGCGGTAACACGCCAAACAGGGGGGCACTAGACAAAGTGGTCCTGATAACTCAAAATAGGATCCTGGTGTTTCTGTTCCAGGCCCTGAGCTCGAACCCCAGCATAGGATACTTCTGTACGTTTATACTGTTTTGGTGTGTGTGCGTGTGTCGTTTTTCTGATGGCGGAGGTTTAAGTTTCCGGGGTTAAGGGCTCTGCCAACAGTGGGCATTGAGCCTGTAGTAGATATCTAGGTAGACCGTTGGGGATTTTGGTTTGAGGGCTTTGGCTTTAGATTTAGGGCTGCGGGTATACCCTCAGGGTCAGGGTATTTGATCCTGCATGATGATCTCCACCTGCAACCCAATCATATCCTGGTTGTTTGAAGTTAGCGTACACTGTAATGAGTAGTTGCGTTTTGCATACACCCAACAACCGATAGTGCATTGGTCTGAATAACTTGTAATGACATCCCTATAGATCCTTCAGAAGCAGAGCACATGGTATACCCCAGAACGCTAGGCTGTGGGTCAGACCCCTTTAGGATCAACGAAGCCCTAAACCCTTCGAAGGCACTAGAAAACCTGTATGCACTCCCATGAAACCCAAACACATGAACAAAACACACGCACACACACACACACCAAAAAAAGCTAGAGCGAACGCCGCTTGACATCCAGGCTCTCCGTCTTTGCTGGTTGCTTCTGGCTGTTTGCTGTCCGCAGCCCTGGCGCAGGAGCCGGGGCTCACTTCCTGCCGTTTGGGTGGGCAAGGTTTGAAGGGTTCTAGCATTGTTTATCCGTTTTTCTTAAATGCAGTGGTGCCTAATCATTAGTTGGAACATGGTTTTGTTGCATGCCATAGTGTCAGTAGAGACTACATCTGGGTAGTATCCCTACACCGGTATTACTAAGTTGTACGATTTCCTGTTTTTGGTAGGATTCCCAGGTTCCGGTGCTCTACGGTAAACCTGAACCCGAAGTCGGAGATTCTAAACTCTAAACCGAACCCTGGATGAGGTGGCCGGGCGGACCCTTGAAGTTGTTGGTCTCCAGAAAGCTTCGAACCTGGGTCCCTAAACCCAAAGCCCTAAACCCTAAACCTTAAATAGTTTAGGTTTTCGAACCTGGGTCCCTAGACCCTAAACCCTAAACCCTAAATAGTTTAGGCTTCATGGCTTATTAGGACTTTGAAGTTGATGTTCAAGGTTTATGGATTTGCAGTTCAGGGTTCACGGTTCGGGAATCGGGAAGTTTGGGGGTTCCAGGTCTGGGGATTTGGGGTTTGGGGCTTGAGTTTGCTGGTGCTTTGGTCCCTTACTGCGTTGATGACCCGTAGGAATTATATAAGGGGTTTCGGGACTTTGTTGGCTGGTGATTGAGATTAAGGGGGCTTAGGGGGTTTGAGGTTAAGGGGTTTCGGGCCTTCGGCGTCAAGTCGCAACGCCGTAATGCAACCAACGACTCAAAGCCTCGCCACAGACTCCTTCAATTTCAGCACAGGGCTCCCGCACCAAACAGGATCCACGTTGGGGAGTCGAATGCCCATAGATAGTACCTACTTACCTTACTTACCTACTTTTGGCCTCTGGATCCCTGGCCCGAATGGGCGGGCTTTGTTTCGGGACTCTGTCAACCGGTTTAGTGATTAGGGCTCAGAGTTCAGGATTTACTCGGTGTGCTTTGATGGAGGCAGGGTACACGATCAAAGAAGAGGTGAGCAAGACTCTGGAAATGGATTGTAACCCTAGCCCCGAAAAGCAGGGAACCATCCTCCTTCTGGGGTTCCACTCTCGGGTTGTTCATCTAGTTAATCAACTGATGCAGCTAAAAGTTTATCGGATTGAGACGACAAGCCTCAAAGCCCTACCAGACTTTGAGAAGGATCGTGAAGCCTGGCTGTAAGCCCAAAATAAACCTAAACACTGAAGCAGGCCGTGCCTGTTTTCATGTCCACAAAATGACAAAACAGTCAAGAACAGCCAAACTAAACTCAAGCCCATTGATGAGAAAGGATGGCAACTTGTGTGGAGGAGGCTTTCCCGTGCCTTGGTCCACAATAAACCCTAAACCACTAAACCCCTGAACCTTTAAACTCCTGGACCATGAAGGAGGGCTAATCTATGCTCTTGTGTGCTTGATGCCCAGCGGGGCTTCTTGATAAATCACGCAAGAGCCAACCCTGAGCCTAACCCTTAGACAGCACCGTCTATCGCATGGAGTGAGCAGCATGGAAATTCAAACAGCTGCGTACATTGCGGACATTGCCCGACACATGCAGAGCCCGCCGATTTGCGAGTCCTCTGCTTTCACTGCTGGGTTGTCTGGAAGGCAGTTCTGGGAAGCAAAGCGTCTGCAGCAAAGCGTGCGCTGCCGAACTTGTTGAGAAAACACATGTGTGTGAGAGGCTGTCTGTGCATCATGTAGGTATATTAGAAGCGTCAGAAGCGAATTCCACTGTCGTGCCTGAACCCAAAAACAACCCGAAAGCGAAACCCCAAAAAGAGATAATCCTGAAAGAGACCTGGAACCCCAAAAGGGGAAAGCCGAGCCGTAAAGTTGAAAGAAATCCTAAACCTTAAAGGGAGTGAGACAGCCATGACAAACCCAGCCGTCAGCCCTACAACACTATACGCGACCAGAAGAAGGACAGCCCCCAATAGAAGTTGGCCACAACCATGGGAGGAGTAAGACAGCTTTAGAAGTTCCAGAAGGAACCACAAACCGAGAAAAGGCCGCAGATAACCAAACAAAGGTGGAGATCAAAAAGCATGGTAGGCCCCAGCAACCAGAGATTAAAGGACGCAGATAACCCCAACAAAAAGGCGCAGAGACTAAACAAAAAAACAGAAAATAACAAACTGATTACTCCTTGTCTTGTCTAGGCATTCCAGCTATATGTTTGACGTCCTCTCCCCAGAAACGGATCCGAAATTGATTGCGGCGCCCAGGCGAGACGCCGCGACCAAACAGCAGCGAATGGGTCATCGTTCGCGATGCGGAATGAGAACGGCACTTTGACGACAGCGACACAGCGCCTGACGACAGCGACGCAGGCGCCCGGAAACGTCGACGAAGTCGTCGTTCGCCGTTTTGAATGAGCACGGTGCCTAGACGACAGCGACGCGGCGATGTGGAATGAGCACGATGCCTAGGCCTAACCGAGAACAACAAAACTCCCAATTTCATTCCGCAGCCTTCTTGATGCATTGCCGACAGACACCCGACATCCAGCGGAGGCGACATGACATTCACAATCGTGTCCTGGGGCAGAGTCAACGAGCAGCGCATGGAGGGGGATTGTTAGAATATGGGAAATCGGGTCCTCCCGGAACCTTTCACCGCTTCGGCCGGGCCGAGGCCAATCTTAATTTCACCATCTGGGACCTTGTAAGTCGATGGTAGGACGCTATTCCACCGGTCGAGACAGGACCCGACGTTCCGACTAGATTCTGGGCCCGAGGCCCGAAGCGCTTTCAGTACGACAAAGATTTGGCTATTTTGCTACAGCTTCCCAGGTGGCTGGAGCAGGTAATTAGGCGAAAACGACAGTTGTTAAGTCGCCGCAAAACTCTCTTCGTCCTTATACAGGCCACTAGGCTGGCCCATGAAGCTTATACGCGTCCCAGGTACATTGCTTTCATTCCCACAAGCGCCCTCTGGATCATCCGCCTGGTCTCTGATGCCCCAGCTTCCTTGAATGATGCGGATGGCGTGGCCTTCTGGCTTCTGACCACATTGGGCGCACCTCGGAAGGATCCGGTGCGTCGCTCATAGTTTCTATTGGGGGTGGGAGCGGTCTTTCATCATCAAGTCCTTGAAGTATTAACTCAAGGCTTATTAGTCCAGGTTAACTAATTAACTAATTAGTAACTAATTGCATGGGGCGTTTTGATATGGGGTCAGAACTAATGCTGAACCCTGAACCTTACACCAGCTTTTGGTGCATAAGTTGTAAGCCTGAAGCTACACCCAACGCACGCACACGTGGACAGACACACACACACACAAACACGCACACAGATACAACCATGGAATAAACAAAGCACTGCAGAGCCTGAAGCCTAGGATGTTTGGTCTCTGCGAGCTCCTAAACCCTTCAACCCCACTCAAACCCGCTAGCCATAAACCAACCTCCCCCGCCCCCAGAAACAAGCAGTATACCTTAAATTACGAATCCCAAGCTGTATAAACGATGCAGAGGGAATCTTAATGAGATATATTCCTGAATTCAGTGTTGTAGGAGTCTCTGCGGGATGCGGGAGTCTCAAAACTAAATAAACAGCCGAAACACGTAGACAGGCTTTCACACCCTGTTCAAAATAACTGCTTTTGCAGCCTCCGACTCCGAAACAATTACCAGCCCTATATACGCCCTTCCGAACTTGTGACATATTGGGAAACCCCATTCGACCCTGCAAAACAGTATCCTGATTCAAACTTCAGGGCTCCTTGGAATCTCTCCGAGTGGCTGAGCCCTTAGGTCCTTTGTGGTGCTCTGGAGGGTCGATCGACTCTCCCGTGCCTCCGGACGGCTGGATGGGGGGAGTTTAGGGTTTAGGGAGAAGACTCCGGATTATGGAAAATACGAGGGGGATCTTACCGATTGAGGCCTGGGTTTTGGATGTAGGCTAATGAGTTCAGAAGTTTGGGGGTTTGGTTTAGACTTCAGGGTATCTGGTTCTTCGTTTATACATTGATGCATGTTAGGTGGAACTTTCCGCTTGTGCCGCTTCTCCGGTTTTGGGGGCAGGCTGTGGCTTTAGCCAAAGCTTAGCCCCGAACAGTGTCCTCTAAACACAGGAAGACCTTAGGTGGGCATTCGCGGTTTCGGACGTTCGGAGTCTGGGTTTGCAGTTTTCAAGACTTGCTAAAACCACCAACGCAGTCATAACGCGCATCATATAAACCGTCACAGCCCTGTGAGAAAAAAAGCAACAACAAACCCAAAGATGTGTGTTCTCTACCAACATTTATTGAAAGCACCAAGAAGCCCCATTATGAGCCCGTGAGTCCTATACAAACAAATGCCTTGTCTTCCACTCCTTCCAGGAGCTTCCGGGAACGGGCGGGGAGGCGATCCGAGGAATCCTTGGATGTCGGGGGCTCCGTGGGAAAGTCTAAAAGGGTCCGTTTCGGTTTCATTTGGGGGTTCGGGATTAATTAGTTCAAGGTGTTGATGGGGGGTTTGAGGTGGTTTTGTGCCTAAACCCTAAACCCTAAGTTTCAAAAGAGGGTCAGTAAAAGTTTTGGGGTGGGCTTTAGGGTTTGGCGGCTTAGGCTTTCGGGGTCGGCTTTCTACAGGGGTTTCGTATCACAGGAACCAAGTCCGATTAGGGCCCTGAGTGTGGATCGTAGTATTTGGAGGGTTTTGGGCCGTATACGGCTTCATCAGGGTTCAAGTGCGAAGGGGGTTATACAAGCTGTCTTTGGAAAGTAGAGCCATTGGAGGCCCTAGACCCTAAACCCTAAACCCTAAATCCTAAACCCTAAACCCTAAACCTAAATCCTACGCCCTAAACCCTAAATCCTAAGCCC